ATTTAAGATATTGGGCTAAAAATAGTGTAGTTTCAATAAGGAAAATCATTGTATCAGGACTCTTTGGATTGCAAAAGAGAGAAAATCCTGCCTAATGTACATTTCTAAAAGGATTTTATTGGCTCAAATGGTTAAACACCTTCAGACATAGCTGGATTCAGTGATTAATGAAACCATCATCAGGATTTGATTTCTCTGTCTCTACCCTTCATTTCTTTGGGATGTCTTCACTCTTAACCAAATGGGTTCTCTTTTCTTAATCAAACAATGATTGTCAAGGGCAATCAGAGACCCAACCTTCTATATCTATTCTAGTATGGAATAAAAGGAGAGCATTTTTCCGACATTCCCAAGAAAAGTCATAAAATTCACTCTACCTGGATCAGCATAGAACATAAGCCTACTGGGAAAGCAAAATTGTCAGACAAAGGCCCTGTGATGATTGACTTAAGATTAGGTCCCAGGACTGAGGCTAGGATGTAAATCAGGAAGGTGGACTGAAGTAAGGAAGAAGTTAGATATCCACATGAAAATTAGAGACCATTGCCAAAACTAGACTGTTTTCTGGGGCAGTAAATAGCACATGTCTCCCACAACCATACCGGGCCAATCTATTAGTTTCTTGGTGTAGAAAGTATACATTCTGGTAAATGATCACAAGAGAAATTAATATATTTGGGCTACTAAAAGGTTCTCGGTAAGCCTCTACAACCAAGAATATACAATTCAATAATTTCATCATGTATATGGGACTAATTTAGAAGCAGATAGCAAGAATAGGGATAAATTACCCACTTGAAAGGACAGATATAAATAGTAGGAAGCCCCAAGAATTAGTTTAATACATTAATATCTTGTAGATTCAGGACCAGAAAACTATCTGTAAAGGACCAAGTACCAAATGTTTTTGGCTTCATGGATCTTACATGCCATAGCATGAAAGCTGTCAAAGATAATATGTAAACTAATGGGTATGACTGTGCTCCAATAAGATTCATAAAAACAACCAGTAGTCTGAACTTGTCCCACAGCTGATAGTTTGTTTACTCCTGTTGGAAATAGATAATGTATTATATAGGAATGGTCTCTGATGTTGCATGTAAATAGATTTCAGCCTGACCTCTGATACCTACTAGTTATGTCCATGGACAATTTCCATTATTACTCTAAGCCTTGGTTTCCTCATCTTCATAATAGAGATAATAATAACAAATATCTAAGAGAGTTACTGTGAGAATTTAAAGAGAAGATGCACATAAATCAAAGGACACAATGGCTGACATATAGTAAATTGTCAATAAATAATAGCTGCTATTATTATAATTATTATTAAGCAAACCATTGTAGGAAAACTATAAGAAAACTTTGGAGAATATCGGGAAGAAAGAAACAATGAATTTCAGTGTTGTTTAAGGCTATCCTTTTGTTAAAATATATTCCAACTATATTTGGGGGGTAATGTGGTTTGTACTAACAGTTACAATTCAGAAAGGGAATTGTGGCTTTCAGGGAATAGTGTATAATGATTCTTCTCTCAAGGTATTGACCAAAACTGAAAAGGCCAAAATGTTACTAGATGTCATTTTTTTAAAAAAGAAAACATTAGCAATGAAAGACAAAATATTATCTTGTTCACACTTATTTTGTGTCCACACTTAGAATTCTGGGTACATTTGTGATGATTGTCCTCCACTAAAAACTGAGTGGAGTTGGAGAAGGTTTATAAAGGGTGTGCTGGAGGGATGGATAAATACATGAGGCCAACTAAAAAAGATTAAAGTTGTTCAACCTGGGACAACAATTGAGAAGAACATATAGCATAGTGACAACATGACCTTTACTATCAGAGACACTTGTACTTATTGGCCAGGTCACTGACTCAGTGACCTAGTAGCTTATAACTTTGGAAAGTCATTTAAGCTCTATGAGTTTACTTGTTTTCTCCTGTGAAATGGGACTGTTAATTGTGCTTTCCTCATGGGATTATTGTGAGGATTATGAATATAAATTCACCTACTTTATCTTTGGCACATAGTAAGCACTCAGTGTCTGTTATTACTATCTGAAACTTCTAAAGTCATGTTTGAGATGATCAGTTAGTCAACTTTCTAGTACATGAGATAGTCAAAAAGAGGAGAGGTTTGTGTTGGCTCACTTTTCAGAGGTTTCAGCCTATGGTTGTTTGGTCCTATTGCCTTTGGCCCTGTGGCAAGTTAATACATCATGGCAGGAGTCCATGGCAGAAGTATGTTCATCTCATAGCCAGGAAGCAAAGAGAGAAGGAGAAAGAGGCTAGAGAATGCCCCCTATGATGTAACTTCCTCCTACTGGCCCCCACCTCTCAAGGATTCCTCCACCTCCCAATAGTGCTACAATGATGGTGTAATTAACATGTGGGACTTTGGAGGACACTTATCAAAAATCAAAGGAATCAGTATCAGGTCCTTTCATATCTGGAAAAAATTGAAATGGGAGAAGAATGCCTTTACATTACACACAGATGAAGTTACTGAATGTAAGGAGAAGTCTTATTTAAAAGACAGGTTGTAAACTTATGATTTCTATTGCCTCATTAGGTATTAAAGGCTATAAACAAATAGATTTAATAAGGGATTCATGGATAATAGAATCATTATGGATAGCAAGGGGAAACATGATGCTTGGTAGTTGTTACTAAACTCATGTTTGATATTAAAGAAAACAAGACTATCTCCCCATAATTTCTTCTTAGAGTCAGAATTTTGGATGAGATAGTCCCTGAAGATGATACAGTAAGGACAGTTCTCAAATTAATTAATCAATTAATTTGTATCAGGGATTGAACTCAGGGGCACTAGACTACTAAATCATGTTCCCAACCCTATTTTGAATTTTATTTAGAGACAGGGTCTCACTTTTTCTGAGGATGACTTTGAACTCAGAATCCTCCTTCCTCAGCCTCTGAGCCACTGGGATTACAGACATGCACCACCACACCCGGCCAGTTCTCAAATTTAAATGGCTAAACGACTGCTGTATGAATTAATCAGACTCTTATTTTAACCTTGATTTTTCCATGATGATAGCAGATAGCAACCATCAGAAGACTTTAAAGTTGTCCTTGTCTCCTGGTATTGTTCAACCACTGTAAACATAATCATTCAAAAAGGACTCAATAGCTTTGAAAGAGGAGCTGTAAAAATATGAAGCATTTTTGTTAAAATAAAACTTTTGTTAAAATCCTGACTCAGCAAACAAGTGCCTATCCTATTGGATAAGGCTTATAAAATGTATTTTTTTGATGTGTCAAGGAATTTTCTCCAGCCTATTAGAAACAAATGAAATGTCAGAGTCCTAGAAAGCACCAATTTGTTCTATGCTTCTTTTATAGACAGCTGTCTAGAATGTGACTTTCAACCATTGGCTATATGACCACCAGTTAGAGTTGTTTCTCTCTTTGGAGTGGTATGGGAAGTAAAATTAAGTTTGGTAATCAGGAAGGGTATGAATTAGAGAATGTCCCTTTTTTATCAGCAATCACAAGCCTCTGGCATCAGAAAGATACGCTTTCAGATTTTAGCTCAGACACTAGCTGCATGACTGGGGTAGATAAATTAACTGCTCTGACCCTTCATTTTATCATTTTTAAATTGAATCTATAGCACCTAACTCAAATGATTATAGTAAGCATTAATTGCTAGAAATGGATATGTAATATTTTTTAAGACACACCTTCTTTTTTAAAAATACCTGTATTTTATTTTTATTTTTATCTGGTGCTGAGGATTGAACCCAGGGCCTCACGCATGCCAGGCAAGTGCTCTACCACTGAGCCACAACCCCAGCCCATCTTTCATTAATATTGAATTTAAATAAGCAGTATTAAAATTAAAGCACTCAGCACAATGCCTGCTATAAAATAGTCATTCACATAGTATTAGTTCCCTTTTCCTAGATATCCACAAAGCTAAATTTTATACCCAAGAGGAAATCAAGGAGTGGGAATCAAGTTCAAACAGACTCAAGAATCAAAGCCACCACCAGGAAGTACTACCAGTAATTTAATACATGATTGCTCAATGCCATCATCATGATCGATGACAAGACATTGTGGCTTAGAGACTGAGACACATTCACTATAATAGTTCTATTAACTCTACTAAGTGGTGTAGCTCACTTCTGGAAATTTTTTTTGAAACATGGACAGTGTCTCTTGGCTTATGATAACATTGAAGCTCTATATCACTATATTCCATGGACAGATTTTTTAAAATTCTCTTGACCAAGTGTAACCTAAAGCTTCATAACAAGATATTGAAAAAGCCATCAGTGTAGAGGGCTTTACAGATGTAATATAACCTCCTGAAGCCTTCCCAAGGACACGTGGTATTAAATTTTGCCAAGACGCTGAAAGAAATTCTGTATGTCTTAAATGTTTTATTTTGCTTCAGAGATGATTATTGTGATAGGTAAAATGTTTCTTGGTGGAGACAATATTCCAGAATTCAGTAAAGGTGCTACTTATTGTATCTATCATCATGGATAGAAATGAAGGCAGTGACAATATGAGTTCTATGTGTTGTCATCTGGACAAAATGGAGATAGTAGGAGTAAGGACAATCATATAGTTATCTCTCTCTAATGGTGCTCTCTGATGGTTCATGCCTACAGTTATATGTTATGTCTGCATCCATGACAGTATAATATGACAGTTGCACTGAACTATGTAGTGTTGTAAATGACAATGTTTTATGGTAGGTACCATGCTTCTGGGTATGAGTAGAGGAAAGTGAAGGAACTTAAATCATAGGTATTTCAAAATCTTATTATAGCTATAGATAAATGAGAGAAATAAAGAGGAAAGCTGTCTAATGTTGAGACAAGTTTCCTAAGGAGGCCAATCTTGAGTGCACTCACTATGATTCACATTGTGGTGCATAGTGAGAACCTGTTTCAGTGTGCTCAGAGTTGATTAGAATACAAAGGATTGATGCTATTAAAACCCACAAGAAACTGATGAGTAAGCCAAACACCAATTTATTCACTTACAATGAGAATTAACTGCCAAATAGGCTAGAACACTTATGTCAGTTGGTTAGGAAATGTTCTCTCCATAACAAAGTTTATACAGAAAAGCAATTACAATCTGATTACTTGAAGACCATCAACTCAGAGCAAATGTATTCAAGTGACCATCTTAATGGCTAAGGCCAAATTGGAATGGCCTGGTGGCTTAACAATACTGTCAGGGTGGACCTTCCAAATGGTGTGCTGGTCAATAATCTTTGAGGCTAGGGAGATGAGTGATTATATTTTTTCTCATTGCCTTCTTTTTCAGACTCCAAGTAGACCATTCTTTTGTTAACAATATCTTATTCAGTCTTACAAAATAATTAGATCCTATCTTTCTGGGTGGTATCAATCATGTAGCAGATCTGTCTCTCTAAAACTACATCCTTTATTGGACATAGGGGTTCTCCAAGCCTTTGAAGTTACAGACTGCATCTGTTCTCTGTGGATTCAAATTAGTTTCATTCTCAGAGCAATTCATTTAGCTATAAGTTCTGAGGACACCCCTTTGTGACTATCTTTATGCTAAGTAATGAATAATTATTGTTGAATTTGATGATATAAAGTAGATGTTGTCACTATAATAAATTTTGAAGTGGTAGAATTGTTAGTAGCTAGTAGGCAGAAAAGCATGATCACAGATTCCCATTAGTATGCTCAGCCTGGCTACTGGATAAAACTACATAGTGTACAAAATGTCCTTGACTTGGAATGCCTCAACAAGGGACCTCCAAAAGCTCTAATCCTTCAGTTACAGCTTTGGATTGATCATCTTTTCTAAGAGGTTATGAATTCTGAAGATTTCTTGGAAAAGAAGATAATGTTGTCACAAAGGGAGAGTAAAATAGGAAATTTTTTTATTGTGGACTCTCTCTTTATGAGAGAGTCCACAATAAAAAAAAATTGTGGCCCTAAGATAAGGAAAGACTGATGATGAAACCAACTGAATGATCGTATTGATATTTCAGGACTATATTGAGGTCAGTAAAGTAACTGACTAGAGGCCATTGGGTTAGTCCTTTATTATCAAATTAGTGGTAATATGTCAGGATACTTCCAAGGTATTTCAGAGTCACTCAAAGTTCAAATAGACCTACCTGTTGGAGGATCTCATACTATCTCATTACTGCAGTGGGAATTGCTTGGTGTTATTGAAATATGTGCATTCAGATTTCCTTATTGAGGGAGTTAATGGAGTAATGTGCATGTATAGAAAACTATGGATAAAGGAAACCCTTTGAAAATGCAAATAATTGTTAGCACAGTGGTTGGTGACGCACCAATGGGTGGAAAGATCTCTTTGTTGTTCTACCAGATGAGATTAGTAACCCTAGTTGGGTTTGAACACTGAAAAGTTAGACTAACTCTCCAGGACAAGGCCGAAATATAATGGCACTTCATGTTCTGAGAAGATCTTGATGGTTTCTAAGAACATGTAATTAGTGATTTCATGAGACCCATTATGATGACATACATGGCACTAAGAAGCCGTGACCAAAGGCCTAGAATTTACAAGCATAAACTGATCATCACTGAATACTCTTAACATTTTATGGAGTTATGCCTTTCCAGCACAGCATTACTTTAGCTCAGAAGCATCATCTATCTATATACAGAGTTGGTATGTGCCAAGAGTACAACACAAGCAATCAAGCTTATCACTTCTTGAGTTTTGTGTACAGATCGTGTTAATGTATGTATACTGGGATTTTTCAGATGGGATGGTTCAGAAACTTGTCTTCCATTCATTGTTTTTCATGATCCTCAATTAGATAAGTAACCCCAGAAGCGAGCGGTCTGTAAGGGTAGAGACCTATAGTGCTGGACAGTGATCCTAGATAATGACCAAATTGAGGTCCTTAGAGTCAGGAATTACTGCAGAGCCTGACTCTTAGTCCTTAGGGAGATTATTTTGGCCAGGTTCTCTGTCCAAAGCAGAAATAACACTGCAGTTATAGTAACTATGTAGGAGAACTTTTTAGGTCTCATTAAATATCTTTCAGAGGTCATTATCCTAAATCATTTTTGCTTATCGGTAAGATATTCTGGAACCTCAATCTATGATCATTAGGGAAGAGGGAGAATCCTGGGATTGTTAGGGCATGGCTATTACAATGTACCTGCCAGAAGGGTTAGCCCATAGAAGAGACCAATAATTCCAAGCAATATTCAAATGGCCATAAAATATGATTTGTCAGTAGGCAACAGGTTCAGTTTTTTGGGCAAATAGGGGACTTTGGATGGAAACTAATTACATAAGGTGACAAAGCTGTGGTTCCAGGAAGTTTGGTTTGTGTTGAAGCTATACCCCAATCTATATGTGGAGCAGGATCCGCTTTCTAGGAGGAGAATATTGGCAAGTTATGGTAATGCAACTAAGATTTTAGGCAGAGGACCTAAACCAACAGGAAACTAGGATATAGATCAATGAGGGCCAGGGTAAAAGGCTTGGACTCAGTCATAAGCACACAAGAAATGGACTAGGCCAATAAACTCAACCTAGATCTCATCCATTGGTGGAGATGAGATTCCCAACACTTCCAGGTTTTTTTTTTTTTTTTGGCTCAGGATGGGCAGTGTTTTACCTGCAGACTTACAGTACTCTTGGAGGAATTGATCCAAACTATAGAAGTGCCTGTGAATTGTTTTCCTCATTGTTAGATAAGGTTTGGTAAGGAGTTACTTCCAAATGAACACGATCTGGTTGATTACATTTCCAGAAGCAAAAGGGTTCATGACTATCTGTAAAGTGGCATTGCAGTTCTCCATCTGTAGTATAGAGTTAGTGCAGGATATAAATCAGTAAGGCTGTGGGTGAGAAGGATATAAGTTGGTCATTTTGACCCTCCTGGGCTTTTCTTACTGGTGATCTGGATTATTTGTACTTGCTGGGGATCGAGAGCGTTTGGCAAGGCAATCTCTTGTGAAGTGATCAGCCTGGTTGCAGTAGAGGCACAAATGAGTTTCTTGTTGGCGGGCTCTTTTGGCTGGGGTAAGAGGTAACTGGCCTCCCCGAAGTTGTGAAGACTCTTCCCTAGATGGTAGGCCTGTGGTACTGGAGAGAGATTGATGGTGGGTGAGGGAAGCCAACGTTGGGAGCTGAGTCTCTGATTGTAGGAGCTCTGGCCTGTCATTATGTTTCTTATCCAACTGAATGCACTGAATGATCAGGTCAGGGAGGTTGCCCATCATATCTGCAACACTCTCTTTATCCTGGATGGGCTCAACTAGTCCCTCTTGGAACTGATCACTCGGATTTGTTTCAGTACAAGTCACATTTTGAGAAGGGGTGTCTCCTTTGTCAACCTTAGTATTCATCAAAGGGTTCATTTCTTGTTTCATGGGTTCATCAAATGACTGCTGGAAGTCATGAACAAAGCTCTCATGTTGCTTTAATATAGTACTCTGATCAGATCCGGATGTGACCCCACAACTTTCCATTTGTTGGGATAGGTAGTCAAAAACGAGCTTGTTCTGGGTACCATTAACAGAATTGGGAATCTTGAAAGCTGTTAAGTATGTAGTTACCTGAGCAAGAAACCCTGAGACACTGGCAGGATCACCATGAAATTGGGTGAGATTCTCAAGTGAGTATGGTACAGACATCATTGGGGTAGTCAGAGGAGGCATGAGTTGGCCTCTCAGAGCAGGGTTCTCCTCAGTCAGATGCTGCATTTGTGGTTGCAGAATCAGATTCTCCCCCTGAAGAAAGGAAGGCTCTACCTGCAAGGTAGGTGGTGATTCTGTGCACTTCTCCATTATATCTCCTGGAATCAGGTGACACTGAGTATAATCTCAAGTACCAGTACTGGAGATCAATGGACATGCAATGGATTTGCTCTGTGATCCAAGAGGCAGTATCAGGAGGAAGTATCCCAAGATGTTAACTATGAAAAGTCACTAGGGGGGGCTGAGTTGGAAAGATGCCAAAAATTATCTGTTACTCAATGTTGTCTCTTCTTCATGGGGAATGCCAATTTCTGCATTAAGAAGAAATATATTACCTTAGAACACATATACAATTTGGAATTAAGAAGATATATACAACAGTCATGACAGTTTTTCTCTTCCCTCCCTTTCCTTGGGATAGAGGGTCAATTTGCCCTCACATTAAGCCTTGGTTCTAATGTGTCTTATTTTTTCACCAGAGAGTCAAAGAATTTTACAATCCAAAGTGATCTTAGAGATAATCCAGGCCAAATTTATAATTTCACAGATGAGAAAACAGACTCAGAGAAGCAAACATGTTTGCTCAAGGTCACCCAGTTAGTTAATATCAGATCTGGCATGCTCATCAGGGCTGCTGTCCAAAACACTGCTTCCTCCAGGACCACAAATGTGCTCATTTGCATATGCTGCTTGATAGTTCATGTTCCTGGCTACTCAAAATGTGATCTGGGAACAAGCAGTCTCAGCATTACCAGAAAGGTTATTAGAAGTACAGAATCTCAGGTCCCATCCAAAACCTACTGAATCAGGTTTTACACTTTAACAAGAGTTCCAAAGTGATTAGAATGTACACTGAAGTCTAAGAAGAACTGCTATAGACAGCACTTAGTCTGAATTGGAATAATCACTTGTTGGACTTCACCTATTTTTTTCTGGTTATTTTGATCCTGTCTGAGATCACATTTTGTTGCTATGGAAATGATTAAGACATATAGGCAAAAATGAATAGGTAAGATTAAGAAACTAGCAAACAAGAACTAAATATTCATAAAAGTATAAAAATCAAAATGTTCAGCATTCCTTGAAAACAAGAATAAAATATCCAATAAAAGTTAAAAAACAATCCCCAAATATGTGATATATCAGTTGTGCATTTCAGTTCCCCTCTTTGCTCTTTTTTTTTTGCTGGTATTTTTTTTATTGGTTGTTTAAAACATTACAAAGCTCATGACATATCATCTTTCATACATTTGATTCACGTGGGTTATGAACTCCCATTTTTACCCCAAATACAAATTGCAGAATCATATCGGTTACACATCCACGTTTTTACATAATGCCATATTAGTGACTGTTGTATTCTGCTACCTTTCCTATCCCCTACTATCCCCCCTCCCCTCCCCTCCCCTCCCCTCTTCTATCTCTACCCCCTCTACTGTCATTCATTTCTCCCCTCTTCTCTCTCTACCCCATCTGCTGTTATTTGATTCTCTCCCTTGTTTTTTCCCCCTTTCCCCTCACAACCTCTTATATGTAATTTTGTATAACAATGAGGGTCTCCTTCCATTTCCATGCAATTTCCCTTCTCTCTCCCATTCCTTCCCACCTCATGTCTCTGTTTAATGTTAATCTTTTCCTCCTGCTCTTCCTCCCTGCTCTGTTCTTAGATGCTCTCATAACATCAAAGAAGACATTTGGCATTTGTTTTTTAGGGATTGGCTAGCTTCACTTAGCATAATCTGCTCTAGTGCCATCCATTTCCCTGCAAATTCCATGATTTTGTCATTTTTTAGTGCTGCGTAATACTTTTTGTAGCATACTATTTAAACGCGTTTAAATTACCTAGTGGGTTAAAAAAATGTGTATCATTGAATTTTTCAAAATTTGAGACCTGTTTCTCTAGGTTTTATTTGATGTCTTCTCCTCTCTAGATCAATGGAAAAAAATAATTGAAGACTGAAATAGCATAAGATTGGAGGCTCTGGCCTCCAGAAACTCTGGCCCAAAAAACTAGTGTTAATCAATTGATGTCTTTGAAGAACTCATTTGGTTCTCAGTTTCCTTTTTATCTAATTAAGATAACTATCTTTTCTGTACCAGAGTTGCTATATCAATGTGATAATAGATAGGTTCTCTGGGTTACAAAAAATGAGAGGTTTGCTTCTAAAATTATTCTAATTCAGGTTGTGAGGATTTGCCCTTATCACATATTGCCAAAATAGGGACACATACTGTCCTACCCTTCTTTTTTTTTCTTTGCGTATCTCACCATTTTAGTTTCCTGATCTACTTTTCAGACATCTTCGACTTCCCATGTTCCCATCCATGAGTTCATTCCTGCTATTCCAGCTAGGTATTAACCAAAGATCAGATAGTAAGATATTAGTTAATAAGGGTTAATGATTGACTTTTCTCAGGGCATTCAATTTTTATTCAATCTCTAATGTATGTAAAATCAACTCAGTTCCCAAATCTATCAAGTCTGATTTATTAGGTCTGGGTAGATCCCAGGAATCTGTCCTTTAACAAGCTAGTTATGTGATTTCTGAGGGAGAGGGTCCCTGTGAAAAACACTGTGTTTCAAGGATTAAAGACATATTAGTAGTGACTCAGAGAATAGGGATGAGACAGGGGCATATTTGGAGATAAGATATTGGTCCTCAAGCAACATATAATGTGTGGTATCCTATTCTCCTTCTGTATGAAGCCCACAAAGAGCCACAATGTCCTTCACAACTGCTTAATTCTCCCAGCCAATAGAATGCAAGAGTTAAGCATCCAGATTTTAAAGTTGAATGGCTATGGGTCCAAATCCTGGCCTGACTAAAAGCTGTGTAACTCTGTGTAAGCTATTTAACCTCTCTGAGAACTAGTTTATAAACTTTAAAATGAAAGTGCTCATAATATCTACCTCCTAGTGTTTGTGATGATTAAACGAAATGAAAAGAAATTAGCACAGCGTCATGCAGATGGCAAGTACTCCATAAATGTTAAGTTATCATTATTCTAGGTCCATCATCTGTTATCTGTGTTTCAGAATTCAATTTTTTTCAGATTTTAGGTAACACACAGTATTACTGTTTATTATATAACACTTCCTGCAGTGTCTGGGGAAACATCCCATAATCAAGCTATTAACATTCCTGTAGGAAAAAAAAAAGTCTGAATATTCATACTAAAAGGGATAAAGACTAAATTCATGTCAATTCAGGTCAAGTTTTGCTTCCAAATGAGATTTGGCACCAAATTAATGAAAAAATAACCTCCAGTTTACAGAGCTTTTGGATATCAGAATTGGGATAAGAGATTGTGAACCTCTAATAAATTATCCTTTTGATTGGAAGGGTGTGACTGTAACTTTTCCTTCCCATCCATGCTTTCTGCCCTTTCCTTGTACCTTCCAAAGTTCCAGAATTTTGTGGAGGTCTCTTGTTTCTTTACAGAATTATGTATTCAAGGTGACATGGCATTTAATTTTCCTAATTATGTAGCACTGGTGAAACACTTGCTAAAATTATAAGCATTAGCTGAAGTGCAAATCATACAATAGCACTATTGTCAACTGCAATTGTTTAATTCCTCAAAATTTTATCCTGCCTTATCATTTTGGAAATTTATCTCCTTTTAGAGGTCAGTGACCTTTCACTACTGGATTGTCTCCAGAGGATGTTAGAACAAAGTCTGTCACGTCTAGAGGATCTAGTCTTGAAGAGAAAAAGGAGAGAAATAGTTGGAACCTCAAATGCACAGGTGTAAGGACTGGATTGGTGAGCTTGGATCAGATCCAACACAAAACTACATATACTTAAGCTTTTACTTAATAAGTATGTATGTGTCTCAACTACAAAACAGCAGCAACAACAAATGAGTTTAGTCAACTATTGCATACCATTTTGGTGTTATGCATTCAGTTTGGCTCAAAGCCATGGTTAATAGCTTCCCTGGACACAAAACTACTTCATTTTGGAGTTCCTGGAAACCATGTTTGCAGAATGGCTTTCTATAATTTGGCTCTAGAATGTACCTGAAAGGGTCATGTGCTTTTAGAGGCTTGGTCCAATAGAATATGGTGTTATTGCAAGGTGGTGGAAAACTTTAAGAGGTGGGGCCTAGTAAGAAGTCTTAGGTCATTGGGGATGAGCCCTCGAGGGGGATACTGGGACTTTTTTCTTTTTGTGTCCTGGCTTCCATGAGGTAAGCAAGTTGCTCCAGATGGTGCTTTCTACCATGATATACTGCTTTGTCAGAGGCCTAAAAGCACTGGGGCCAATGATGAACTGAAACTTCCAAAATTATGAGCCAGAATAAACCTTTCATCTTTTAAGTTTATTATCTCAACAAAATGTATTTTTGTTATAGTATCCGAAAGCTAAAACAGACTTGCAATACCCTATTACTTATAAGAAAGCTTTATGACCTTACATTGTTTTAATTTCAAGTTATTTCTCATAACCTATTGGAGGAGGAGCTTTGATCTGGGATCATATAACCATCTAGAGCAGCTATACTTCTCACACTTGAGCTTCAGATATTCTAAGGAATGCTATGGCCACATCACATAAATTGAGACACAAATAACTTTCCAAGAATCAAATAAGAAGAAGGCATCATAAAGATGATCTTATTCTTTCAAACCCATAGATTCTATAACTTGCCTGAGTACATAATAAAAAAATCAGTAAGGAACTGGCTATTAGTCATGTAAAATCTGTAATCTGACACTTAGATCCATAGTCAAACTGAAACTTACTCACTGTGTACCTCCCTCACTGTCCCTATGCCTGAAGGAGACTCACTGGCTAAGCAGGCTTTGTTTACCAATTTGAAGTCTTAGTCTGGTTTCCCTGTCCATTCCCAATGCTCCCATCATTTCAAACAGAACATGCTGTTTCAAGTAAACAATTAAGGGAAGAGTGGAAAAATTCTGATCTGCAGATCCCAAATAGTCATAAAATGAGCCCTTAAAATTTGAAATGAAAGGTCTTCTCCTGCATTCATGCTCCCTGCTGTCTCTTTCATCTTTAATTCATTAAGTGCAATTCACTTAGTGCTGAACACCACTTGCAGCTGATAAGCTGACAGAGCATAGCCCACTTAGATTCA